CGTTGTCCAAAAGGCAGCATTAGGCAAGAAAGGATTTGATGTTCAAGACAAGTTCAATAGCTGGGGGCACAGAAGACAGAAAATTTAAAGTGGAAGAAGATGCAACACTAAGCTGTTCAAATATGGAAGAGCTCAGGACTTAAAAATAAGTGGGAGTAAGTTGAACCTTCTTAATATAACCTTCACTGCTTTACCTTCCCTGCTACCAGCTACTGCTTCACAAAAACCTAAATGCAGGCAAGACTCAAAAATGTGCATGCTAATCAGTGTCTTGATAAGGCATGCAACACCACTACCACAAAGGCTGCTGGATGGCACCCAAACTTAATAGAACTGTCTACCTATTTATTGTCTCAACCTCATCTTTAAGTATACATAATTCCATCAATTAGGCTGTGCACATTCAAGAGATATAAGCCACAACATCAAAACAAAAAGGTCTTGAAAAAACAAAATTTTGATTTGTCAATTATATTCAACTAGAAAGATTTATGGCACTCAAGGCCCCTTGTTTTGAAGTTTCAGGAAAAGTTCACACAAGTCCACCACAATCTCCACATCAATGGGCTTTATGGCTAAAATAGCTTGATGGATTTTACAGTGGTTATCTGCAAGGACAACAGGTAAAACTTTTTTCTTCCCCTACCCTAAACAGGGTTTAATTCTCCATGCTTCCTCTCTGGCTCTGTGGCCAGTCGACTATTTCCTCTATCTTCGATTTCTAATATATGCACGATGCACATAAATTGCCAGTCTGTGTTCCAGAACCATTTGGACAATGCTCCGAGATGTATGGTTTAATTTTTAGGCTGCCCTGTGTGGAGTCAGGAGTTGGACTTGATAATCCTTGTGGGTCCCTTCCAGCTCAATGGCTTTCAATGATTTAAGTGGGAAGAACATACACACAATATTGCATAGCATTAGTTTGAAATTTGAACTCTTCCAATACTATCTCATTATTAATGAATTGATAAGGTCTTACAATTAAGTTTTTTCTCATTTGGAATTATGTTCAGGACAGTTATGAAATTAATAAATGAAATAAAAGCCAGTGTTTCAAGATGTCAGGTACTTCATCTTGCATAGAACTGACAGAAAGGAAGACTAAACATTTATAACTTTTTCCTCATACTTTTAACTGTGTGAATTTGTTCTTACACTTCTTCTATGTAATAAAATCAATGACTACCAACCACTCAGTAAACTCAAATAAAACTATGTATTTCTACTTTCCCATTATTAATATGCATGCATCTCATTTTATAAGCATCTGTCTCAAAACACAGTTAATGAGACCTACTTTACACTATGATCCAGTATCTATTATTTTACAACACACCACCAGGCAGTAGGGTAGCAAAGATGATAGTGTATTAGCTATCAAATTACAGAGTTTCCCGTTACCCTAAAGTAACATGAAAATAAAGGCACCCACCCACCCACATTGCTAGCAGTGGATCTTTCCTTTGGACTTATCTGCAGAATAAAGGATAGCTGCTGTCCTATATTCTTAGGAGAGCTTGCACACAATCTAGAGTAAGGTTGCTTTTAGCAACAATCATGCTGTCCATGAATAAGAAGTCACTTAACTTTTCTTCTGAAGCACAGTTACACAGTTATAATTACACAGTAAATCATCTAATCCATCCCACACCAGAGAACAGCAACAAGCCTAAATTGTCCCTTACAATGAGAGCATGTAACATCTGCTATGGTTTGCAAAATCATACGGTGGAGGGAGAAAAAAATGCTAGTTTGGGAATCAGTCAATCAAAAAGTTCATTTAAATATGGGTTGGGGACAAATGTATGCCTGATGAATATGACACATTTCAAGTATATGCTTAATAAAATTATGAAGCCAATCGTGTCATTTCACTGGAAACTGTAGAATGAGTTGAACAAACGCTACTTCCTCTATGAAACAGGCTACTAAATTCCATATAGAAATTATTTTAAAGTGAGAGCTTAGGAAAAAACCCCCAAATGTAGGTAGTGCCTGTGTTCTCCATTTAAATCTGGTGCACGTCACAAAACAGCCCTAGCTGGAGCTGTAGGGTTATGAATACAGCACAGCTCTGATTCTTGACTAAAAAAAAGGAAGCTTCAGAACATTACATTTAACATGTCACACGTGAGCATTTAAAATTTATGTGAATACTAATGCCTACCTAAAGCAGAAGCAGCAGCAGTTTAAGAGATAGTTTTCTTCATACAAGCTTCCAAACAACAAATACGTTTAGTGAAATCAACTAAAACTGGCTTTAGAATGCCTAGAAAATAGTATATTAACTTCATACGAAGTTATAAAAGTTTAGATCTGCTTGTTTTCACATAAATGAAATAGAAAACTTGAAAAGGGTTTATTAAATAGAGTAGGCAAACACAGAATAAATGAATGGTTTTTGTTTGTTTTGGTTTTTTTTGTTTTGGTTTTTTTTTTTAAATGACTGGTCCAGTATTATCTGCTTTAGGAATTTACAGTCCTGTAAAAAATTGTGATCAAAGACCTTAGGAAACATGCAGAGACCCTCAACTGCTGTTGAAGTCACTAGAAGACAGAATGTGAAGTTTCACCTGCACTAGGTTTCTTTTGCTGTTACATCTGAAACAGCTGAGTTGACATTTTCCAAAACACCCCAATGCAGACTAACAAAAGAGCTAACAAAAAGGAGCTTCAGGTATCCTACACCTAATCTCTCCATACTGCTAAACAGCTATTATGATACACACTGCCTTTCTAGCAGGTCAGTAAGTCTGTTATAAAGCACTGTAATAACATCCCATCGACATGATTTCTCTGTACTTGTACATCACTTTCTTTCCCCAACCCCACCAGACAGCTGTATCTATAAAGCAAATGAGGAAACTAGGAAAATTCTGCAATTATATACCTGCTACTGATAGATTAAAAGCAGGCATAAAGAATAGTAATTACTCTTTCAAAAAGAATATAGAAGGAATTCGTTGAGAGATGTGTACACTAGATACGAATTTGAAAAGACAGAATAATCAATAAATTGGAGACTATTAAGTCAGCACACAAAGAAGTATGAACGTATCTCCCAACTTTCAAATTATTTGTACTTCTGAAGCAGTTAGATCACTAAAGAAAACCCTAGGCACTAAATACCACACAAATAATACAAATCCATAACCCAGCAAACAAAACCAGAACTATCTGAGACTTCAGCTGATTTCTGACAACAGGAAAAGAAAAAGGAGTAATCTGTGTTTGTGCAAATGGTTCTTTCTTCAAGATGTATCAAAGCTGACATGTAGATCAGCTGAGAAGTGTTTGCACTGCAGCAACTGCTGCTATTTAATTGTCAGCCAGGCAACTAACAATGTTTTCTATAACAAGAGATTAAGACCAACTCAAAGGAACTTTCCATAGAGACTACAGCAGATGTTTATTTTCTGTTTTTAGCACTGTATCTGCCAAAAATATTTTGAGATTAATTGGTTCTAGCAGTTGCATACAATAAAAAGAATATACTTAAATATCAACTCTGTTGCCTTAAAACATATGGGGGAAGTACATGGCATGGGCTGTGCATCAACCAACACCACACAACTGACTCTTCAGGAATCATACCAAGGATCTATGGAGTCTTCTACAAACACAAAGAGGTCCACTTTCAAACTGACAAAGGCAATTAAAGTAATGCAGTTTAAATAATACTTTCGCAAATCTACAATCAACCAGTACTACAAACAGAACTTTTTCAACACTACAGGATTTTTCTGGTCCCCTTAGTTCAGAAGATGGTCTTGTTACCGGCCCCTTGAACTAGCAATTTTTAGAACCCAGTGGTAAAGTTGAAACTTGTTGTCCTGCAGTGTTCCTGGAAGTTCTATGTAGTTTAGGGGAAAGGGAGAAACAATTTGCAGTGCTATGAATGCTGCATGGCAAAAATAATTTGCTTTTGTTTTGTTTTTTTTGTAAACACTTCACTGTAACCTGTATCAGTCATTTTAGTCTAAAAACTTTGCCACTGCCAGTATAAAGAATTTTGAACTACTTGCATTTTTAGTCTGGACCAAGAGTTTATACTATGAATCAGCCTAAGGACCCTACAGCAGTACTGTAGCTTCAACAAGCCTTCAAAGAGGACAAAGTACAGGGAAGTAACAGCCAAAATTAGCTCTGGTACTAAAGCATCAAAACCACACTGACTTTTTCCAGGTCACTTTCTTACAGTATAGCTAGTACCCCTCAAAACCCATTAAAAGAAAATAACATTGGCAACACCTCAAGAAGCAGTTTTCATCTCAAGGCTACAAAGAGCTTACAAAGACTTTCTACCTGTAGTTCTTTATACACTTAATACAATTTTTTTTCTGCAAGAGCCTATCGATCCATTCAGGGCAGCCTGAACTGGCCTGACTACACATTTATTTTCCTCCAACTTCACAACCCTCACAATGAGGATGAATCCTCTTACACACATTGCAAGCATCCATTCAGTGAAAGATTAGCATAATATTAAGGCCATCTGAAGTACAGAAATGAACAGCACTGAATGTTTTATTGTGCAGCCATTTGGTTATGCGCAAGAGGGAACAACCCAGCCAAGACATCTGGCACAAATTACCATCATTACAATTTTTTTCACAATTTTAAGAACTCTGGTCAGCACCTGCATGTTGATGTGGAAGTCGCAACACGCTTCCAGGGCCTACTCTTAAGGAAAGCCAGTCTGGCAAGACTGAAGAACCAAAATACCAATCTGCTTTGGCACAAAATTAAGCGGGCACAGAATACTCCACCTTCCTTATAAAGCTCAGTATTACAAGGCTAAAGATCCAGATACTTTTTTTTTAAAAAAGGAAAGGGCCTATTTAAAACAATATTCCTCCCTCTGTTCATAAACCTAGTAAGACAGTCAAGAGATACCCCTCTACCACTTGCAGCTGGCTATTCCCTTTTCCTGTCCTGGCTCAGAGAAGCTGAAAGCATGAATTAAGTCATATTCACAGCTGTCCCGATTCACCTACCTGATATAGGGATCCCTCCCAGACCTGTGCTGTGTTGTGGTGGAAGATTCAAGTCCAAGAAATTACTATTTGAGGTGGGATTTGCTGTGTGGTTCAAGTGCATGATGCTATTGCGTGGGAAGGCCATCCAAGGATAGCGAGCTGCTTGGCCTGGAAAACTGAAGGAGTTGTAAACTGCTCGATGCTGTTGAAACTGTGGGAACCTCTGTGGCATGACTGGAAAGGTGCTACTGAGAGAGTTGGCATTTGTGGGTGCAGCAGGATGCAGGAATCCAGAGCCTGGCCCTTTGGCAGTTGTAGTGTGTGGGGTAGGGTTCTGAAGAGATGTGGGCGAGAGGGAAGGTTGGTCTTGGACTGACAGTTCCTTCTCAATCAGGTCTGCTAAGGCTTTGCGGGTGATGTCAAAGGGGTCAAACCCTAAGTCGTCCTCTTGCTGTTTGGAGGAACCAAACCCAAAAGCCGCTTGCCAGTCTGTGGAGGAGGATACTGGTATAGTTTCTGTCAGAGAGGAACAGGATTTAGAACAAGAATTAGTAACTATTTACCCATACAAAAATTTCAGCCTCAGTGTATCTGAATCTATGCTGCCAGTTGTCTTTCATCTAATACTTCTTTATACAGTCCCCAGAAGACACCTTATTCATCAGCTTAGAATGCCATTTTCAGATTGAGCTGTCAGATTTCTACTTGAGGGGAAGTGGTAGCACTAGCAAATAGTATTTTTACTGCAGAATTGCTCTGTTCCTGAACTACAGAAAAACCCTGTCAAGTAAGTATTTTCAGCAATAGCACCAAGTAGAAAGAGACCAATAAACACTTGCTTAGAACCTTCTTTACACCCATATTACTTGACAGAAGAGTGACCAAGCAGAGTTTAAATAAAGGTTGTTATTCAGTTCAGTATTTTGCTTTCAGTATTAATGCTGTGCTTCAGCTCCACTGTGCAAGAAAGGTGAGGAGGAAATGTTCCCTCTCAAAGGGGGAACCTCTGAGCAGTAGTTAAAAAAAAAACCCCAAACAAAACACAAAACCAAAAAAACCCACAAAACCCCACTGTCTACCATTATGAAGAAAACCAAGCCAAATTCTTGAGTAGATGCCTTAACAAAAGGAAATAAGGAACTGCATTACAAGATATTGTTAAATATTTTGAGGCAGTGTTGCAAAAAAGGGTTATCAGAATTTCCCTGCATTTTCAATTACTACTTCATTTCATTATACTGTTTAAGTTCCTTATTCAGGTTCAGTGAATGCTAGGTCTAGTTTCAGTTCTTCCTCAAAACTGTGGTAATGCAAGCTGATTTGAGTACAAGGTAGTATCACTCACATCATTATCTCCCTCTGCTGGTAGGGAACCTGGTCTGCTGCTTGAAGTAGTTAAAATTAAGCTCAGTATCCTCTCTTAGAAAAGGAATCTACACTTCTATTTTCACTCTAAAATCCATGACGACAGATAAACAGACTTGCTAGATCGACAAAAACTTGTCCTTTGTATTCTTATTTAAATAGCAAACATCCATTTTATATTGATTATAAAACAAACAAGATCTCTACTACCTGGAAATTGTCTCTCACTGCTACATAATCCTCACAAAATTGGTGCATATAGTACCTTAACAGCAGGTAATTTCCTTGGTAATAAATATTGTTTACAAATAGGATTATGGCATCCAGAAGTCAGATAAACATCAAAAGACGACTAATCACTAAGTAAACCATGTCCTAAAGTATTGTTTACATTATTACTGATATTGTTTCATTTAATTTTCTAACAACTCCCTCAGATTTATAATTTGTGAGCTCTTTAGTACTGTTAACGACTCCAAAGACTATATAAATACACCTAAAATGTTTCATTCATATGAAGTGGTATTTCATAGGAAAGTACCTGGAAAATACAGGTACCTTTCATTTGATGCAATTAACCATATTTTTATCTTTTCTGTATGTATATAATTTCACTGCACCTTCACATGAGGCACCTTCAGATAACTACGCAGGATACTAAAGAAAATTCTGAACTCCACTGCACAGCTTCCAATGCTAGAATTACAGATTATAACAGATTATTACACCAACATATACTGACACCACGTATTTTCCCCACTCTCAATAAAAACCTTAACATTAAATATTAAGCACAAATGCCACATCCTATTATTTAGTTTTTCTTAGCTGTGTGCCTGTCTACAATAAGCACTCTGATAATTTAGCCATGCAGCTGGAAAACTCTGTAAAAGTTTCTTTTAGAAGAAACCCTTAGGTCAGTGCAATTCATTTGTAGTTAAGTGACAAATTTTAATCATTTATGAAGGGGGGGGTGGGGACCAGTATGGAACAAGTCCTAGAGTTCTTGGTTCTACACAGTTTTAGACATCAGCTGCAAAAGCAACACCCAGCCATGTAACCTGTGTACATACCTGATGTGAAGAGGCTCTGTGGTTCTGGTGCTGTGGGCCAGTCATTTGAAGTCTGTGGAGAGCTGGGGAATGGAGGAAGCCCACTAGGGATGGGGTTAGGGTGCCGAAAGTTGTCAGAGAAGAGCGACTGTGATTCTGTTACAGCCCCTTCAAAAGGAGACCGTGCACTGTGATTAGATGAACTGATGGGTATGACTGGATTGGGTTTTGTTAAACCAGGCGGTGGTGAAGGTGTGTCACTGTTTGTTATCTACAGGCAAGAAAGGAAGAGAAACAGTTAGGACATGAGTGTTTATATATAAAATATTCTTCACTAATACAGCTGAAAAACTTCCTCAAAATTTTTGGCTACAGTTAGATTAATATATAGTTCAGTACAAGGTCAAACACAAAAATCAACTTAGCAGTAGCATTTTTAATAGTTTTGTTGAAAATTATGATACACTTCAGAAAGTACTTGCTTCTCCAACTACAAGTTGCACCAATCCCTCAAACTCAGTTCTTATTTTAACAGCATTTATCTTTATGTCTTACCTGCTGGGAGCTGTCACCATTTCCTATACTGAGGGAATCTGAAGGTTTGTCGATAGGGCTGCAAAAGTGGGAGGGGAAAAGAGACAATAAGACACAAGTATTTAACATGAAAATCAACATTTGCTTTCGTAGTGGTAGAAAAGCCTTGAAATAAAGACAAAGAAAAATTAATTAGGAGGAATCAAGAAGGAAAAAATCCACTTTTTATTTATGAGACTGTTTTTTTTCATCATAAGCATTTGCCACATATTGTAATACTTCTTCCCACCACTCTCCACTCTGCTTGTTGACTGCCCTGTTAAGGAACAAAAGGAAAGTTTTAAACACTCTCATAGTAACTCTATGCCATTCAAAAAACCAGGATTCTTGTACTATGGCAGTATTCCATAGTAGTCAGTTCCATCTATGCTACTACCAGAGAGAAAGTTGGGAACAGACTTCTTTTCCAAATTCCTAAACTGTAAGTTCCCATACAAGTCCTAAATAAATCTGGGGATAGATACAAGATTAAATTAACTATTTAATCCTGGTGGCAAGTTAAGCTTCCCACCAGTCTTCAAGCTTTAACTAGCAGGAATTACTTCCAAGTAAGAAAACAGTTTTGAGATGACAAAAGAGTAAAAACACAGGAAAAGACATAGCATAAAAACCTGCCAACAAACATAAAGAGAATAAAAGATAAGACACAGCAGAAAACCACCTCAAAGCCATTCACTGGAATTAACGTGACTTGGCTGAAATGGTACGTCTCAGGATTCAAGATTCTGACAGGCATCTGTCAGTTGCCTTAATTATGCTAAATGCCACACTAACGAAACAGTATTACTTCCAGTTCAGATCAAAATCTCTGCTTTACAACTTCAAGGTACTTTCATTTTTATCTACCCATAAGAGAAGATGGACAAGCATCAGGCTGCACAGCCCAAACCACAAGTCCTTGTAGGACCAGAAGTAAGAACATGAATTTCAGTTCCATTACGAGACCAGAATGTGATACAAGTCCAATTACAGGCAAATTACAAGACAAATATATAGAGTAATTATTTTAACTGTGTGCAGACTTCAGATTTTAGCTACACCTTGTTTTCAAACATCCCTTGCTGCTGCAAATTTTAAATACTGCATAAAGCCACATACCAAGGTCAAAAATTCTTAAGATTGCTTCCCTCCATATTTGTTCTCCCCATCCAAAATAACTGGAGTTGAAACCCAGCAGAATTAATTCTTCTCCATTCCAAAGAAACTGCATACAAGTAGTCCATCAATAAAACCATTTTTTGTGTAAAAGAACACTGAGTTGGTATCTCAAGAAGATAACTGAAGCTGAAATATTTATGACTATAAAAGTCAGGGGAATGTACTTGCAAACAAGCATTACTCCAGTGAGGATTTACAAATACTTTCTACTCAGTGGTTGAACAGCATGAATAAAGTTCTTCCATTTGAAACAAACTGCCTTGGGTTAGTAATTTCTGAATACCTATAGCACAAAAGTTTGATGTAGACTTTTCACTACACAAACACTCTGATTGCAGAGCTGATATTCCAGCCAAATTCTTTTCCCAAAGCTGCTGACAGAAAGTCACAATGCTGCAGTTTAAAAAGCTATGTGTAAGACAGCTGTTAATGACAATCTAAATGCTGAAAATGTTTATTATACTTGAACCTGCCTAAGAACCCTTTAATTGTAAGACAGACTTCCAGCCCTCAGGAATGGACAAGATGCATTATCTATTAGCTATAATATTTTTACCTACATTCAGTACATTCTTTTCAGAAAAGATAAGGAAGCTGCAGGTCACTACTGAGATGCAACCATAGGATCTCTGATCACACCTCAATGGGACTGCTATCAAGCCTAACAAGAAGGTACCACTTCCAACAGCACTCAACATTAATGCATCGGTTCAATATTGATTTAAAACAAAGACCAGCTACCTAATCGGCAACACCACTTCTTGAAATATTAAGAGTTTACCTTGTTATTTTCCCATCCAACCTCTGAATAAGCCCAACCGTTATTACCTCAAGGGGTCCATAAAAAACAAACCAGCATGACTACAGACTGCCACTGGAACTGCAAGTGATGCTTATGATGGAAGAGGATATCAGTTCTATTCAAGGAGGGCACCAAAAGAGGAAAAAATGTTGGCTAGCAATAAGGAAGTTATTGCAAGCAGATGATTTACTTCTTCTGCACAAAGAAACCTCAGTTGAATCTGCTGGCCTGTTGTTCCTATTACTGAGTGATAATCAAGGAACCCTTACCTCTGCAGTTGTGTTTCTGGAACACACCACTATAAAGAGATGACAAATACTCAGTCCTAACATTTAGCTTCCTTCTGTTGATGCTTTTCCAAGTGACAAGCCTCCTGATGTATAGCAACTAGCATGTTACTGTTGTGGAAGCTTCTGTATAGAAATGAAGGGCTCAGCTCTGGCTGGGACCATGCAGCTATGTAAGCTGTTGATCCCCCAGTTATTCAGTTCCCCTCAGCCCTTACCTGTACCATCACTTACTAACTTCACATTAGGGTTCTCCTGTACAATCTGCCAATCGGTCTTTTTGACATGGGCTAGACTAAGCCCAGGTTTTTGTGACCTGATCAGGATTTGAATCCAGCTCTCCAACCAGAGAGAGAGACTGGAGAATCATTCCCTCCACACCAATCAGTGAGAGAGAAAGCAAGCTATCTGAAGTATAAAAGGCAGCACAATTACCCGAAATCTGAGTCTGCACCATCTGGAGTCATGTGTTCTGGGTCTGTGCCATTTTCTAATATAGGAGGCGTTTTCCTGTGTTCCATTGTTAAACCGTTGGCTGATTTACTTGAACTCTGTAATGATGGCCAGGCATCTTTGTTATTACTGTTGGGTCTGAAAAAAGGCAAGAGTAAAAAAAAAAAAAGAAAAAAAGAAAATAGTTCAAGTTATGAAGAAAGTGTTTTTAAAAATTGTAAGCACTGGGGAAATGAATCCTTGTGCCAGACAATCCATAAGAATAGATTTATCTGGATGTTATTTCTCCGATTTTAAATGGTGATGACTTAAAAAAAGACTTAGTGGGGTAGGGAAGGGAGAGAGAAAACTGGGGGGAATTCTGTTTTCTTCACTGAATAGACAGCTGCTCTGCCAATGCTGAAGTCCAAACTTGTCCATTTGGGGGATAAGAAAAAAATGAAAAAAAAAAATATCCATCAACAGCTTCAAGTATCCAGACCTACAGAAACCTCATTTAGAATTATTTGCTTTATCCCATAAGCATTCGCAAGTTCTGTAAATCATGAACTAAATGATTTTTTTGTTTTTTAATAAATGTTTTATATTTGAGGCCCTATCAAGCCTGGCCCCAACAGATGAAGTTTGTGTTTTACGCCTACACAAGAGTCCGCAGCTTTACTAACAGAGCATGAGACCAGTCAGACCAACACACTGTTCATTCAAGTTACTGCTCCCTTCATTTCTAGTTTAAAGCCGTAATTACTTCCCTCTTATAAAGTAACATGAAATTTCATTTCAGAGTGCACATTAGATCTGAAAGAAGTTCAAGAGAAGACTCAAAGCCCAAGTTTTTGCTAAAAATAGTTACATTCTATACAAATTGAAGCAAGCTGGAATATCATCTATAACCAAACGCATTCAAATACAGTGTCATCTGCTAACCCTACAATCTTACTATAAAAGATTTGCCTTTGTGTTCTTCAGTTTTTATATTAACTTTAGCTTTTCATTTGCTTCAATTAGGATGCTGTTTTTTGTGTCCAAGTGCTGTCTTCATAAGGAACAAGATTCCAAAAAGATTTTTTTTAATACGTAAGTTCCTCCTGATGTCCCCCTTCATTAGTATGTTCTTATTACATGGTCCAACATTTACTCTACATCTCTAGGTCAATTTAGTAAGTTCACATTCAGAATCTGGAAATTCCTATAGCTGCTTATAGCAACACAAGTGTTTCCTACTCCTATTCAGACAAAATTGGTATTACTAGCTACCCTCAAATCTCAGTATTATAAGATTTGCTATTCTACCTCCATCTTCTCACATAACTACACAATATGTACAGAGATGAGAGCCTTGACCCAATTTACAGATCTCATCTTTGCTTTGTACACATTTGAAATAAGTTAGAGATCACAAGTTGATCAGATATTGAACATCAAGGAATGAAGACACATCAGAGCAATGTCAGTCATTTAATATTCTCACTCTTACAAAAACAAGCTGTAATCTAGATGTAACAAGATTTTCAATCCATTAACAGATTTATTTTAAATATCAAAATTCATGTCTGCTGCCGTGCAAAGCCATCTCTATACTAAAACTAACTTTAAAATGTCACAGTTAAAAGTCAGTTTTCATCCAAGGAGAAAGGTAAAGAAACTGGCTTATGTTTTGGGGCGGGCTTTTGCACATGTGGGCTTTCTTGCCTAAGTTCAAAGCTGCACACTTCTAAAGGGCTGTTCTCTAAAAGACCAGCAAGTGTTTAACAGGTGTTTCCACTTGTAGCATAAGAAAGCATTCATTTCAGTTCCTTAGGAAAAGGTCAGCAGGAGAAAAGGGGGGGAGGGAAGAGCTTTATCTGTTCTAAACGTGGAATACACCTCTAATTTTAAGAGAATGCAGTCACCATGACTATCAAGTGACACACCAAGAGATGAGTACCGATATAAACGAAGTGGCACTGTGGGATTTTAACATTTGCCTTCAGCAGCAAGAAAAAAAGGTCTGCAAGTAGGACCTTTCAATTAGGACACAATTGTGAAAAAGCATTTATGCACAGTTTCAGAAATGTTTTCTACTACTGGATATTTGTAATTAAACACCTACTATTTAGAACTCAACTTCTGTTCAATTCCAGAGTGAAACAGAAATCCTGCACCCCAGAAACACAGGAACAACCACAAAATTGTCAGAGGCTTTGACAAACTGCCAGAAATATATTAATATCATATCAATGAATCAGACAAAAACAACAACCCGTTGAATTGGGTAGAAAACTGTGAAGGAGAACAACATGCATTCACCAGCTCACAAGCTACATTTTGTACTGATGAGACGGGACTTGAGACATTTCAAAATCCTAGCTGCAAGAGGAAATTCACTTTGCAACCCAAAAGGTAGTGCCTAGCCTTTAGCAAAGAACAGAGTCTATGTCATCATGATGCTGTTCAGCTGAAAAGAGAAATTAACTCTAGACTTGTTGCCTTTGGAGTAACATGCCATTTTTTTTTCCCGCACAAGTGCCAAAATGTTGGCACCACAGATTGGCCAAGCTCCAATTTGTAATTTCTTTCTGAAGGCTTTAAAGTTTGCTGCAGTTTCAGATAGAGCATTCTTTCCCCGCTGGTATCATTTATTTTGCTGGGATCTAACTAGGTTTCAAATTAAGATTAGTTCAGACTTTGAACATAAAATAATCAATACTCAAATGCAGGAAATTGTGTATCTGCTTTACTCACTGCAGTCTGCATTCCAAGTCAATACTGAACCAGTGCCCAAGAAATAAGAAGTGGCACAGTCCTTAAGAGAAGATCCAACTGAAGGTCCTGACCACTTGCAGTCAAAGAGCGTATGACGCATCCTCCAGAAGTTGAAGAAAATAATCCCAGTCACATCAGCTGGGATACCAGTTCTCAGAATTATATTCTGCTTGTTCAAGCTCAATTGGCAATATTTTAGATACAGTACCCACTTTCTTGCTTAAAATGTTGTGCAGTGGTGCTGCCAATGGCAAATTATTGTCTGAAAAAATTCAGTAGCGGATAAACTGGCACACAACATAAACCCTGATTACAAGGCCAAGGTGCATGCAAAGTGCAGTCTAACTTTTACGTTCCACTCTGCCCATCTCATTGTGAAAATCCTACAAGGAGCGGATGAAATTGTTAACCGTTTTCATTTCTTTATCTTAAATATGACATTTGAGTGGTTAATTCACATAAGAACTGATGACCTTAGGCTTTCGTTTATCTTTGTATGTCTATGTACTCATATGGAAGAAATCTCTTCATAACTTACTGAACAAACTACTTCAACGGAATATTATTTTAACAAGCTGTAATAAGTGATATCTGCAATTACAACACAGTGAAAAATATTTAAGTTCACTAGATAAAAGCAAGGAACCTTTTATTCATTTCTTGTGAATTTTTACTCACACAAAAGAAACAAACTGATTTTACTTCCAATTTCTAAGGTACTTACACCTAATGTAAGGACTGCACTACAAATCATGACTTAAAAACCACCTACCAAGACTGTAAGGTGCCTCAGCTGTAAAAGTACAGAGTGCATTCATCATGACACCATACCAAGAAAGCTGACATCTGGTCTTTAAAAAAATATTATGTGTTTATGCAAATATGAAATACAAGGCTGTCTTTCAGAATAAGAATACCTCATTCTGAACTAGTGATCCAAATGCACACAGCAGAAAAACATTTCTTTACTAAGTGAGAATTACACTCACTTTGTATGAGAACGAAGTGGTGCATACATCTCTGCATGGAGAAAACTGGTATCAGAGTTCGTCATATAATAGCCACTAAAAAGAGCAGGCAACTTAGGGAATGCAGTAGGAATAAGAAAGTTTTCTTTGGGAATAACCAGAAAGAACACATAGCCAGGCAGTCCAGCATCAGTACTTACGCATCATACCTCTGCAGTGCTGTCACTTTGTTCTTGTTCTTGTCAACTGTACCCGTAGATAATTGGAGAAAGTTGGGGTTTAGTTTGTATAATTCTTGCAGTAGTTTCTGTTCATATTCCTGGTGCTTACCCGCCTAAGGAAAGAGACACACACAATGAATGAATACTGCTTTAATATATGTTTTTATAGATTAAAAAAGTTTTTTATATATAAATGTACATACATAAATCCTAAAGCTTAGTAATTGAGCTTTAACAACTCAACAGGGCACTCCTGAATGAAACTTAAAATAGTGCTTCTCAATCTCAGCACAGACATGATCTCCATGAATCTAAAGCTTGCCTAGAAATCATTTGGATGTATTTACCAATTTATAATTTTGGCAATTATAAATTACCAAAGCAGACTTCCAAAGCAGGAAAAAAAGTTACAACCTTATCAGAACTTGCTTTTCAGTTCTAATCAAGAGCTTCACAATATACCTTCTAAATCACAAAAGGCTAAATCTCCAAGGCAGTCTGCATTTGATATATCAACCATACTAAGCTTTTCAGAAGACAGGAGGGAGCAAAGAGTCTCTCTTTTAAACCCAAAGTTCCAAGATGGAAGTAATTTCTATTGGCCTAATAAAAACAGCTGAGGTGGTCTGAGTGTTAACTATCATGTGACAAGGAGTATATTCTGAGCAATAACTGATAAATCATTCTTTTTTAAAAACTGAAATATTCTTTTAACAATTGAATTAATTGAGAACAATTTCTTGCTTTCAGAAATTGAGGACCACCAATCCAACTCCAGAATACTGAATCGGGTAAGTGAAGGAAGAGAGTAATTTTCAGTCTAGCTTATCTATAACATGTGGCTAAATATTTAAAACAAAACCAGCAATATCCACCCTCTTTCCTAACCTTTAAAGTGACATCTGAAACAAATTCAAGATGAGCATTCACATTTTCTGTAGGTTGTAATTCTTATGTTGGAGTGGTATAACTATTGCAAGTTAAGTATTGTAATTAGTTGAATCAAGATGCAAAATAGAACAGCGAATTTGAAGTTGTCAATAGCTTTTGTCTAGAGTTTCCAGATACTAAGAGATGTCCCTTAGCAAAGCAAACAAGTGCCAAGACTTATGGTCAGGCCTTCTGAATCTTAAGTCTGGAACACATATGTTATTATCTATCACATCTTCCGTATTGATTTAAAAGCCCTCACACTACTTGTACAACTAAAAATTAACATTTGTACATTACTTAATTCATTCCCTTTATAAATATTTTGTTGGAACAGGAATGGAATTGATGCACAGGCAACGTTTTTCTGGGAGGATGTCCACATTACAACCTAAAAGACAACTATGACTTGCTTTTAAAAAAAAACAAACAAACAAAAACTAAACAGGAATATTTGACAAAATTCAAAAAACAGTACTGCTCAGAAACTAAATTCCCTTATGGGCTCCTTTAGAAGGCCAACTGCATATCCCATTTGAATACTCCAAGTCAATCAAACACTATAAATGTCTCCAGTTTTTTGCTACTTAGTTCTTCAGTTCTTCATTACTGTTTGATTCTCAACGCGTCTTTATGTAGTCAACCTACACAACCCTCAAAAGGACACTGAAACATCTGGTGTATGCGTCATCTTACCCAACTTTGTCAGTGCCTACACTCAAGCTACTATCTACAGTAGAAAAAAGTGTGGTTCTAGAGTGTGGTTCACCTAAACGTAAACCTTATGGCATATACTGCACCCTGGAAACACTTCTCTCGCCACCCACCATGAATAGAATATAAGCAACTAGCTTAGATGCACAGATCCGCACTGCAAACATTAAGCAGCTGAGTAAGAAGAAACCTCCCTGGATAGCTCATCTTGCTTAAGACTTCAGTGGCAAAAGACTGAACGTCATGGCCAGGAACATCAGGCCAGTCCTAAGCTCACTTGCCTGTCACAAATGTAAGAAAGAAACAAGACGAAAATCCTACATAGGAGCTTGCAGTAGTGATGCTTTATTTGTAACAAGCAATCTGGAGACCATACTTAGCATCTCCAACCTACCTTACCTAAATTCCCAGTTTCACTTTCAGAGACTTCCTGGAGTTCTGCCAGTTCTTTTCCATTTGTCACAACATTTAGCTCTATTAACAATTATTGAGCCTAGAACCTAAGTTCACCCATTGACAATTTTTTTTGTTTTAAAATAGAGAATCAAAGTCTGTGACAATGAACATTCAATATCATTAAACGGACCTGTAAATTCATTCACACTAACCCAAACTCCAGAAAGCTGGTGCAGTGAAAGCAAATGTACTTTTCAATAGTTGTGTAATTTCCAGTGATTTCCAAGAAAGCAATATGAAATCGAGAAGAAAGATTAAGGAATGTAAAAAGGAACAGGAAAGGAAGATTCATTTAAGTTACCAAGATCAAGTATAATCCACTCAAGACGTCCGAAGGAACTCATATGTGAAATTGAATTCCTGGCCAAGCTACGTAGCCTATCAATTTTAACTGGTAGTTAGGCCAGAGGACTGACAGATTGCCATTGCCTCCTACAAAAAGGGCTGTAGAAAACATCCTATGAACTACAGACTGCTAAATTCAACCTCCATCCCCCCTAAAATCATAAAGTCTACCTTAAAAAAAAACCCAAACAAAAAAAAGACAGAAGTTCATGGATAAACACAGTCTGATGGGAATGAATGTGAACATCTTCTGTAAAGGGGAATCCTATTTCACTAACACGATGGAATTTTATGACAGTGTCCGTGTTTTGGTTTGTGTGGCGGGGTTTTGGTAGCGGAAGAGGGGCTGCAGGGCGGCTCCTGCGAGAAGCTGCTCGAAGCTCCCCCGGCTCCAAGTCAGACCTGCCGCTGGCCAAGGCCGAGCCCATCAGCGATGGTGGTAACACCTGTGGGAGAGCAGATTTCAGAAGGGGAACCTGCAGTGGGGGAGGAGGTTGGAATGCGAGAGAAACCCCTCTGCAGATACCGAGGTCAGTGAGGAAGGAGGGGAGGAGGAGGGGATGCCCCCGCAGCCCGCGGCGAGGCGGCAGGCTGTCCCCCCCAGCCCACGGAGGGGAGCGGGGGAGCGGATGCCCACCTGCAGCCCGGGGAGAGAGGAGCCCATGCCGGAGCAGGGGGTGGATGCCCCACAAGATGGCCGCCGCTCCCTGGGGAAGCCCACGCTGGAGCAGGCTGTGCCTGAAGGACTGCAGCCCGCGGAAGGGACCCATGTTGGAGCAGTTCGGGAAGAACTGTCTCCCTTGGGAGGGACCCCACACGGGAGCAGGGGACAAGTGCGGAGTCCTCCTCCCCCTGAGGAGGAAGGAGCAGCAGAGACAAGGTGGGATGAACTGACCCCAGCCCCGTTCCCCGTCCCCCTGTGCTGCTGGAGGGGAGGAGGAGGAGACAACTGGGAGTGGAGCCTGGGAAGGAGGGAGGGGTGGGGGGAAGGCGTTCTAAGGTTTGGGTTTGCTTCCTAATATCTTTATTTTTATTTGATTGGTAGTAAATTAAATTGATTTTGTTTCCTCCCCAAGTTGAGTCTGTCTTTTGCCCGTGACCATCATTGGTGAGTGATCCCTCCCTGTCCTGGTCTTGACCCATGAGCGTTTCTTTATATTTTCTCTTCCCCATCCCACCCGGGCCAGGGCAGGGGTGAAGTGAGCAAGCAGCCTCCTGGTTCTTTGTTGCTGGCCAGGCTGAAACCACAACAATCAATAAGCATAAAGAGGATCCACAAAGTTTTCAAAGAAGCCTTTGATAAGGTTTCATACCAGAAGTTATTTACAAAGGTGCCCTGGGATAGAGGCAAGGTTCTTGTGTGGTTCAAAGATAGAAAGGCAAAGGTAAAACTTACTGGTCACTCCTTTAGGTTGCAGAAGCAAGAGAGGATGACTGATGACTGGCATCAGTTTTATGCAATATCATCAGCATGTACGAGAAAGGAATGAAGAGCGAGTTCTTTGCTGACAATACCAAACTCTTTGGGTTGTTATCAGCATGACAGTTTACTAAGAACTCCAAAAGAACCCCAGAGAACTCACAGGCAAAAACATGGCAAAAAAGCTTCACCAGAGATATGTCAGGTAACACACCAATGGAAAAGTAGCCTAAACCACACTCATGCTGTATTGATCTGTGAACTGGCTGTTACAGCTCAGAGACGAGCTACTGAGGTTGCTGCCAACAGATCTCAAATTATTAGTTGATTAGGCACTGGCAGCCAAACACAAAAAGTGTGCTAGACATCATTAGGAAGGGCACTTAAAAAACCACAAACAGCGCAAAACAAAACAAAAAACCCCCCCCCCCCAAAAAAAAAAAACCCAAACAACTAAGGACTGCTGTATAAACTTTGCTTCCTTCGTGTCATGAGTATGATGTGTCTGACCTCTGCATCTCAAGGAGGATATGGTTAGAAGGTAGAGAAGGGCAACAGAAATTATCACAGAAAGGGAGGAACTGCTTTAAAAAGAAGTTTAAAAGCCCAGAAACTGTGTGATTTAGAGAGAAGGCTGAGAGAGATAAGATCACGTTTTACACCACGACAAAGGCAATGGATAAGGTGAATAAGGGGTTTGCTTTCAGCAAGTACTACAATGCTAAGATTAGGGAACACTTAACAAAACTAACTGGAGATCAGTTTAACACAGGCAAAGAAAGCACTTTACAAAACAGCTGGTGAACTTCTGGGGCTTGCTGCCACAAAAGACTATAAGGTTGACAGTATCAGCAGGTTCAAAATGGATTAAATAAATTCATGGCTGACAGCTCTATAAAAAAACCTAAAAAGCCTAGACAGGAACATACCCTCAAACATGTATTGATATAACAGATCTAGTTGGTGGGAGAAATACAGTGAAATGAACAGGGAAGGTGGCCTGGTTTGCAAGTTCTCCTTGAATTTTACCTCCTATTGCCATTATCTGTGACAAAATATATACTACAGGGGACTATTAATCTGAACCAGCAGGGTATTTTTTAATTTATGAAAATGCAGCTGAAATCCTCAGAAATAACTGCTAATTTGTAGAAAAAAAATCTTTAATAGATATGGACATTCTTCCTTATTCTCTGGCTTCCATCAGCCTAACTTGAAATAAAATCTACTTGTACAACATTTGTGCTAGCACTAGGTGTGGGGACCACCTGCTTCATGGACAGACCACAAGCAAAAGTTACAACCTGGATGCAAGGCTGGCATACTTGAGATTGAGTTTAAAAGCTTTACCATACCTCATGTAGAGGGACAGATGCAGACCCAAAAGACCTCAGAATGCACCACCTTTGAAAAAGTAAAACTTTCCATTTACTTACTTCCCTACTCTGGCTAATAAACATTTGGATGTTGAGATGAGTCAAAAAATCCCCACATCAGTATTTATGCTCTATTACAGTTACCCTCAATGTTTTATTTCCAAATGGTTTCTATACCCTTCACAGGCTAAAAGGGATATCATAATTCAGACAGCATGGTCAAATCACAGTACAATAGTTAAGTCATAACTGGCCACACACACAAAGCCTACAGGAAAACCCAGATCTGCACTAACTTCTTTCACAGAGATTTAAAATAACATATGTTACTTTGAGTTGGTATGAACAACGGGCTAGTAGCTAACTCAAGGTTATTTGAATTCTTGGCTAAGAGTTTATCTCCATCTTTTTGACTCATGAACACTCAGTGGCTTTTTCAGCCTTTAAAAGCAGCATGCAATGAAAAAAATTAACTAACAGTTCACTTCCAATATCCAACTTGTTAATCACCTTTTCGATTTCAAAATTAATCTCTGCCATAATATTCAGCAAAAAGCTACATTATACGCATATTAGACTAAATGATATACAATACATACATGCCACATTTCATGTGTTTCCCATTCACTACACTTACTTGCATTTCTTCTTTTGTGAAACTGGCTGCTTCATCTCCCAGCTCATGTAGATACATGCAGTCTGGTTTTGGACACTGCATATTTTTTAGAAAATAACTGCAATATTTTGTTGTACCTAATGATGCCTGAAGAAGAAGAAAAAATCATTACTTAAGTACTGGAGGTTAAGAATGCTTTTTACAGTACAAGAAAAACAAAAAGTTATATTTGCAAAAAAAAAATCCTTCCCAAGATTTGGAGTTCCATCATAATGCAGTTTTTGATGCAGATGGACTAGGAAGTCCATTTCTAAGAAGTCTATATACTTGAGGATTAGATAATTAGGATGTATTTCTTCTTTCATCCAAACTAAACCCTAAAATAAGAGCCTCAGTAAACATTTGCATTCATAATTGTAAGAAGCCAAATAAATAAAGAATTTGTATTACATGAAACTGGTTAATGTTTTGTAGCAGGGTCAGGAAATTAATATTAACTAGATGATTTTCTGTGGCCACCAATGTAGCCAAGTCAGCCTGAATACCTGTTTACACAAATACTAAAAGGGAAAAACTTGCATTTCCCAGGGAGCTTTTGAGAGGTGTGGTGTTTGGACTACAGAATTGCTCTGTAAAAGCAAATAATCGGGTTTTCACACTGTGCTATTAAGCTACGCAGTAAAAAAGCCACTGTGGGAAGGGGAAGGTGGTGCATCTCTTTCTTTGTCTCAGACTTTTGTTTTAAGAAGTTACCTGCTAATCTCCTGGAGTTACGTGCTAACTGCCTGGAACCTGCTGGAAGCTCACTGAACTTCCATGTTGTAATTAATGCTATGAAAATAGGTCAAACCCCAATAAACTGGACATTTTTGTTCATCAACACAAGAATATCGATACAAGTAAAATTTTATACTATGCCCTGATATTAGTGTCCTAGCACATACACAAAAGAATGTAAAAATATTACCACCTTAAGTGTTCTGCCGTCTACCACCACATTATTGACGCATTGTATGGCTCTGAGAGCATCTTCTGACCGGATGTAGGTTACATATGCACTGGCACTTGGACCCTAGAAAGAAAACATACTTTTTTTTTTTTTTGGTCCCCCCAGACAGATCTGAACATTAAGTTGCCTTTTTAGCAGCTCACTTCATAAACTGGTATATTCACAGCTAGATGTTTTTAACATGAAAACTAATAAAAATGGTAGAATTCATAAAAACTTAGATATGATGCATAAAGAATGGGGAAAAGAAGAAATGCATCAAAAAGTTGTTTGAAAGTTCTAAAAATAATTAAAGGTATTCTATCCCTGAAATGCAGATTAGTCAATAAATGCCACATTGCTGCTTCTTTGAAGGTTTTCATCCTGTCTCCCAGTTTTTAATCTACATTGCATCTTGCATCCAACTTCAAAAGTCTGGTTGGACAACGTCTCAGTAACTTAACAGTAATTTGATTTTTGCAATGCCGTATTTTTTTTTTTCTTTTTACTTCTTTAACATATTGCTTAATCAGAAATAGGGAGCCCCAGATTTACTCTGCACACATCTATTTTCTCTAAAGGAATAAGAAAATCACAAGGGCTTCTGACTTACCTGTGACCCCGCATATGATGTGCTGTTATTAATGACAACTTTATGTATTTTACCAAACTTCCCAAAATATTCTGGTCGTTTCAAAACCTACAACAGAAGAAAGTTAAAGTGGTATACTGGAAAGTTAATTCATACAGGGCTGTACTTTTTCTTCTGTGTAACTGTGCCACTTTAATAAAAAACAGGTCTCTTCTACAAAGAGGAAGAGAGCATGTAGATTTGTTTTCCAACATATAACATGGCTACTTGCAATACAAAGTATGTTGCCACTGCAGTAAAGAACTTAAATGAGGGATATTCCACATTTTATGTTGTATTTTTTTAAATTTCTTTTGGTACTCAGACTACCCAAACCCTACCCTGGCAAGATACATCCCATTCAGCATGAAATATTCCTGTATGTATCTATTTTATAATTTGAGGAAAAAATAAAAATCACATTCATTCCAGTTTTAAAATAAACAACCACCTTAAATTTGCATTCAGATATATTAACTGCTAGGAACAAAATGCTGAATCCTGACTCACTTGCTCCATTCCAAAGAGAAAGAGAGTAAAGCAATTAGCTTGAGATAGCCTCAAGTTTTCAGAAGACCAGACTAAATACAGGAAAACAATATATGGCACTTGCCATGGGCAAGAAAAAACGTTTCAGAATCAACATCATGCTGAAATAAATGAGCGACTATCACATCCCTGAAGGGAAAAAAAACCAAACCCCAAACCACTCCTGTCTTGCCCTTCCCTGCATCAGTAATAACACACCATTTAGGGATCCTGTGCAAAGCAGGAACATTTCTAGCATATTAAGCAACTCTGTTGAATAACGGTTACCTGCGTGCCAATGGAATTGGCAATATATCTGACACATTTGGTCCCAAAAGCCTTTTCTTCTTTTTTTCTATCCCCGTGACAGAAGGAGGTACAGAAGTACTGACTACTCAGACTGAAGCTAGATAAGCTAAGGGTATTTCTAGTTCTAGAGAACAACCTCAGTGGTTAAAATGGAAGATTAATTTCCCCAGCTCCATCTTCATATTAACACTGGATAGTACAGTTAAACTGTACTGATCCAAGAACTTCTTTACCTAACCACCTCCTCTCCCTTCTCAAGGCAGCATCAATGTCTTCAAGATCTAAAAGTGTTAATCACATTTGGAACATCCTATAGAACCACAGGGCACGTTGTGGAGATAACCAGTCACTCACTGGTCTCCTCTGACTGCTCTTCACTTGATCTACAGCCTCTTGAGAGATCCTACACTCACTCTTTGGCATCATTCCAGAGGAGACTGACAATCCTGACTAAAGCAGAAGACTTTCTTCAAGTGTCTTGCAGATTATACTCCTGATGAGATGTGGCAGCACGGCCTTCACAATTTTCACAAGAGCATGTCAACAGAAGTGGATCCACCTGTAGTCCATTATGATCCACAGATCTATTTCCAGAAACAGTAAATAGCAGCCAATCTCCCCTTCTAATTCATCTTTATTTGTGCAGGAGTTTTTTGCTTGCTTAACTTAAATTGAATATATTGAATACTTTTTTTTTTTAGTCCACCTCTCTCTTTCAGGCTAGGTTTCCTGGAAATCAAGTCATCTTTCTGCTATATGCAATATTCAGTAAGTACACATTATCTTCTGGTACATCAGTGAGAATACTGCTACCACCAAACCTAGTACAACACACACATAACCCCCATTACTGCACCAATAAACCCACTTCTAATTACTTCAAGTATTCAGTGTGGAATTATCTGAGGTTAAAAAAAATATATTTAACTGTATATATTATTATTTCTCTTACTCACAAATCCTCTATCTGGTCAAAGAAACTGAATACATTTTTCAGTAATAAATAGCACCAAGCCAGCGTTGACAGTTGCTAGCAAATACTTGTTGCTACATTCTTGCAGAAACTGAAGTGTTACATACTAGATCAGTTTAACTTTGATTTTTCTCTTCTCTTCATATCCCCCCTTTTTTCCCCTCCACTAAAAGCAGCTTTTTACATTTGTTCCTTCCCAGCCTACCAAAATGCAGCCCATACTCTGTAAGTCCTCAGAAACAGCCACTTCTATTTGAGATTTCTCCAGACAATTTAGTCCAATCAGGTGAATTTAATGTGGCACAGTCATTTTGAAGACATCTATCTTACCCTGTAGTACATTTCCTCCATATTCTAATTCAAGGTACTTTTACTCATTAGCACCAATTCCATTAGCCACCTGAAGCTGGCTGATGATGGAAGTAAATAAAACATTTTAAACACAATCAGTTTTCTCAAATTAAAAGCTTCTTTTTGATGATGCAAACTAGCAAGCCAACTCTTTCCCGTGTACTAGATTTTTTCCCCCTCAACTGACATCAGCCTTACACTTCTTCCTAGTTACACTTCAAGTGTTGGCTTTTTTCTTCCGTCCCTACAGGTTTGTGCTACACTTCACATTTTTTTATAATCCAACCAAGCTCCCGTTTTAGAATTGGTGGTGCATGACACAGCTGTATAGTCCCAGCAGATCCAGCCCAGGAAAATAAGTACCTAAAAAAATCCTTAAGTTTATTTTTAGCTTATCAATAAGCCATTTTTAAACAAATACAAACAATTTCCTTAACAAACAGAGAATCTGTACTACCAAAAGCAGAGACAAAACCTTTACTGAGCTTATTTTAGAGGTGAAAGCTGAGGAGGTTCCCTTAAGAAGTGGGGGCCTCAGAAGCAGTGAACCTTTTCAATGCTGCTTCATTTCGTACCCACCAGAGACGCAGACAAGGGTGGGTACAAGGGTAGTCCAATGGTTCCTTGACCATAGGTTAAGAGCAAGATCTGTAAGCGTGAACCACTCACCTCTGGATCTGCTAGGCGCTGAGACAGCCCTACCACGAAGACAAGGTTCTTCTGTACAACTCGTACACTGGCCAAGTGTTTACGATTCTCTGATATCTTCTGTTTCCTCTCATTTTGTTTCTGTTTCTTTTCATTTTTTATCCTTTGCAGCTCTTCCTGGGAGAGTGGTTTGTACACTGCTGGATCTTCTGGATATGGCTAAATATAACAAATACCATTAAAAACAACCCATATAAGAAACAACACATTTAAAACATTGAGATTAATGATTTTCAACGCACAAATTTCTTCTGTTACACTGTTCTGATTGTTATGGCCAGCCACATTTCAGAAGTGGCATATTCACTCCTTTGGGAAAGGTGACATCTTGTGTATTTTCATGAAATTCTCCTTTTATAGACATAATACTGATTTGGGCAATAGTCACATTTTAACTCAGCTGCCTGGTCAGTTTGGTAACACTACAAGCAGCTGCAACATGACAGTCAACACATCCTGTTAAGATTTTACTAACAGGATAGTAAGCAGGATGAAAGCATGCCCTGCATATTCACTTTATATTTAGTTGTCTGATACAGATTTGGATACTTAAGTGTATTAACAAAGTGAAGACTACAGGATAAGAAATCAAAATACAAGCGAACTTCGTGGGCCACTGAAATTACAAGACAGTAACACCATTTCACAGCTCCATTTTCACATTGTTAACTTCTCCTAGTGAAGAGGCAGTTTCAATATAGTTACTGCATACTGATTTAACAGTATTCTTGCCATGCTTGTGTATCAGTCTGAAACTTGGGCTTTATCTTCCCTGGACAAAGGTGATTTTTTTAACCTCAAGATTATCGTCTACAGATAACTCCTCAAACACAGACACAACACTATAGATTTTAGTCTCAAAAGCATCTAGCAGAAGTACAAGTGTCCTCAGAGTTACCTAGAAAGACTGCTCTATTCACGCAGAGCGTTGCTATAAAGGCATTATTTTAGCCTGGTCTTGTAGACTACAGTGCACTGTCCTCTGCCCCAGATTAGTCCTCAAAGCAGTCCAATATTCCTTACCTGTCCTAGTTTTTTCAGACTGAAAAGTTAGATTTCACACTTCATATACAAAGCAATGCTAAGCACAGAAGCAAGTATATAAAAACATCTCCAACAACAAAAAAAAGTGTTTCTAAACACTGAGATGAAATAAAAAAATAAGAAGAGTACAGGAGATGTGCATTAAGGTAAAGACTTAAGATAAAGAAGTTAAGCTGACCAATATGTTGAACTAAGTTCTTTGCTTGTACTACCATAACCAAAGGTTTCAGTGTGCAAGTCCAACAAAAATTAACTGTTTCCTCACTGTCCTCTGTTAATAGTACAATACAAAACTAGCAGTCATACTAAACGACCTGAGAAAAATCTACAGCAGCAGATGAAAATAAGGTTTAAGTTAAAAGCATATATTCCCATACTTGCATGATGCTACAGAAAGAGCCACCAAGTCCTCAGACCTGACAGTCTTCTGAGTACATCCTCAAAAAAACCAAGATCGATTTTACAGTTTAAAGAGTTTAAAGTTCAGTACCATTATGCTATACTTGAGACACATTCTGAAAATATGCTGCAGCCAACTTCAGCAGATGGCATCTCATTGTTAAATGCCGAGTCCTCTGGAACACGTTTTTAGTATCACAAAGGAATTTAAACTTGTACGATACTTTAGGAGTAGCCAAAGGTACACAACTAAGTCCTTAACATGAAAACGCAGTAAGGACTCCTCTTACCCTTGAAGAACAGTTAAAACAGTACCATTTCTTAAAAAATTATGTTATTCCCAAGTAACACTGAATACCTTACACAGATTTCACAATATACTTGATGAACAGCAATGACCTGTTAGTAGGCTCATTTGAGATTAGCTATAGCCAATACCTTGAGCTTTAACATATATACACATGAGGACTTCGGAGATGCAGAATAATTCTGCAAGGCATTTCACTTCTTTAAAGAGCTTTCTCAAAGTCTGTGTTAGTCAATCATGTAGAATAAAGAATAGATATTGTTTTGCTTTAGGGAAGGGAAAGACTGCTCAGCAAAGAGAGAGTTAATTCAGTTATTACAGTCAAGCTGAGTTCAAGCAGGAATGGGAAGAAAACAAGTGCACCAGTGTAAGGTAGATATAGTTCTAAAAATAAAATAGCTCGCCCTACGTGATGTGGTATCATAACCACAATCCATCCTCTCACAGGTTAATTCCTTCTCCACCTCCCGTACTATGCAAGGCAAGGTTTGCAAGCGTGCTGCTCTCTGGTACTGTGCAAGAAATGAATTAATGGTTTTCAGCAGGTTCAGTAAGGCTCCTGAAGGTCCAGGAAAACTACAGCAAACAGTGCCAAAGTTCATCAGCTTCTTTCTTGCCAAGTATAGCCACATTCAGAGCATATTCTCAAATGAGAAGCAAGTCAGACAGTATGTTCCTTCTCCGTACAGTTATTTGCTACTGAAGGTCCTGAACATTAGTCACAAAACATCCCAGGTAGCTCAAGTATAACCCTGAGCAGAACATTTATTTGTCCATAGTAAAACTAGTAGTTTTTAATTGTACAGGAGAGCACAAGAACTGCTGGGAGACACACAACTGAAGAGCAACTTCAGAATCAGGGAAGAGAAATGTCTTCATCTCAGCAGAAAGTACAGGACTGCCTGAATAAGGATTTCAATCATTAAGGAGTAGCAGCAGTTGATTTGCCACCATGGATAACAGCACTTGTTTGAGCAACAGAATCATCAAAAGTTCTCGCTAGATACTGTAGAGCTGTATAATATATAAAATGTTTCACATGTATGTTTATAACTCTTATGACATGTTTAATGCCTCTAAGGAATATTGGTAGTTGGATATCCTGACTTGCAGGACCTGTAAATGCATCTATGTGCACCTCTTGAATCCCAAGAATAAAACAGAAACCAAATCCTAAGAAGTGATAGACGATTTTCCGATCTATATATAACGTGTGGCATAACAGATAAGAGATATTGCAAATTTAAGGAGGGAGGAAGGCAAGTAAGCACAGCACCAACATTTCAGAGGCTAATTCTAAACAATAGTATTAGAAATCCTGTTCCTTTCAAATAGGGACATAAAGTCAGTCTACAAATACGACAATAAGTTATTTCATCTTCAGAGTGACAGCTGCCCACAGTGTTGAACTTCATGAACTCAGATGATAGTTCAACTACAGACAGAACGCATGCAGGGAAGGATGGCAGAACATGGCTCTGAAAGCCAAGTAAGGTGGATTGAATGCTGGTGTATCTTACAGTACTGTTTCATCTACTTACTCTCTGTCCAAGCCTACAAAATAGGGGTAGGACCACAAGTACCAGAAGCAATCAGGTCTTGCAACAGCTAAAGTGGCAATGCCACTTACATGACTTTTTTTTTTTTTTTTTTTACAAGAAGTATAAGATACTTGTTTAACCTACTATTACTAATGCCTTAGCTGGTAGAGGATTTGAGATCCAAGCAAAGTAGCTAGATCAAGTATTACCAACATTTATGTATTTTCAGATGCAAGACATTAAGAGATGTCAACACTACTGATTCACTGACTAAGTTTAGCTGACGCCCTCCACTTAAGTTATACAAATCCTCTTCAGCAAAAACCATGGAAGCCACCTGAACAAGATGTGCCAACATGGAAAATGACTGGATTTTGTTTACACTAACTGCAAGTTGCTGGCAGTCCTACAAGAACTTCATCAAAAGTTCAAATGTCTCTTCTGTAGTCTCGTTTCTTTAATCAGAGATGGCCCTTGATGAATTCTCAGTCTTCCTAAGTTTGTCTTGTCATTAAGTGTTGTTTTCTTTCAGACTTTTTTCCCCACATTTTCCCAACTGATGAAAGCTGAGCTGGGATTTATCAAGCACTTTGCTTTTGTCATTCCCAGATGGGTCACATTCCTTCCACACAATGGATGTACCAACATTTGCCAGTTGTTGCCTTGCTACCAAATAGGTTCTGAAATGAGAAATACAGAGAAGGTCAATAAGGTTTATGCATAGTATACACCATACTACTTATATCAAGAATAAAAAAATAGCTATTTCCTATATACTTCTAAGTATCAGTTGTTGCACCAAACTACTCAGTTGTGGGATTAAAAGCAGCAGAGGAAACAACCGGTATTTGGAGACTGTGCATTAAGACCAGGTGTTCCTTTTACACAGAAGCAGGAGTCTGAGAAACATGGACAAAAGCATGCTTAAAACATGTCAGTGTCTTGGTCATAAACACAGCAGTTTACTATTTCTCTCCATCTCTAATACAAGGTGCTAGGAGCAGTAAAGGTCCCCAAGTCAAGGAACTGGAGAACAAGGCAAAGCCACACCACAGGAACAGCTGCGTATCAAGCTACATTATTTGGTGGAAGGGCAAAGCAATTAAGAAGTGTGAAAGAGCTAGGCTTTTTAACCATTGGATTTAAAAACTGCAACAACTGACACTAAGGTCTGAGAGTGTTACGCTGTATTAAAGCAACACAAGGGACTGAAATGGTACATATTATTCATATGACAAACAGTAGGGGCGGGGCGGGGGGGGGGGAGAATCACCACAAAGATAAAAATCACTGCCCTTACAACCAGAACCAGAGTCTGGTGACCTGCAAACCAGCTTTTGGCTCCAGTAGTCTCTTTTGAGGACAGCATATTTTCATTCTAATTTGACCAGTTAGTGGCTATTTCACTCACAGTTAAGAAATCAATTGACTGGAAAAAACAGGAAGGCTTACTTAGCATCTTATAACTGACTACACCTACAATTCTGAAGGGCATCAGGGATTCAAAGCAGGTCAATTCTATTTTTTAAAAGGAAGTACTTTTCATAGTTAAGGAATTAAACAGAAACAATTTCCAAATCCATTTCATGTGTTATGACTAACAAGTACTAGTTTCCAACCACCACTCAAGTTAAATTCATACTAGTACCTTACTTTCACAGATCATAACAAAACAAATGTTTGTCTACTACTGTTACTAGCAGGAGGAAACTTAAGACACACTAACTCAATTGACTGCAACCACATGAACATATCTGCACATGCAAGTGTTAAGCTATGTAACAGTTCAAGCATGTAGAAGTATTTTCTCCTTAGTAGAAAAAACTAACATCCTTTCAGTGAGAAGTAAATTAGAGAAGCTTAGGAAAATAATGGTATATATGCAATGCACAGTTAAGATCCATCAAACTATTGGCATAGGTGCCACTTACAGCATATAGCCAAATTATTTTATCACAGACTTTTCCAAAATCTCCCCCAAATCTTTCAACCAAAATCCCTGGATAACGAACTTCTTCATTGCTCTTCTCCACAGACTAGTGATCAAGCCACTGGAGAACTCGCACGGCATTCAATACCACTGGCACAAATAGCAGTTTTCTGTTATCTAATTGTGCATAACATACTCAGCCTTGCTTTAATGTATGTTTATTCACAGTCCACTTTGCAGTCAGTATCCTGCACTGGTATACACATTATAAACATGACATACCTGTTGAAACCATAGCACCTACTATAAACTTTCCTGCAAGAAATTTTGTTGCTTTGCTATTTTTTGTGCTCCAGCATTTTAAGTGGTCACAACCAATACACACCACAGTAGATATGAATTTGAAAACTGCTTAGATCTTTTTGCCAGAAACCTTACTACACACAGATAAGAACTATTTAGGCACACTGCACACAAAAACACATACCTGGTCCAGCACACTTCAAAAGGTGGCTTCTTCAGACTTATTTGATGCTGCCATCAATTGTGTAGCTCAAAATTATTTTTTCCCAACATCCTAATAGTGTCTCTGTGCCACAATGTCTTTGTCTTTGCCACGGAAGGAGTGTACTCCTCAGCCTCCTCCATGCAAATCTCCTACAATCCAGCGATACAGCTGCAACTCTACTCAGGAACATCTTGCAGTCCATGCATGAAGAAAATATCAGGAACATAATCCTCATCCATTGTGAAAGAGGAGGTCTCCTTCCTCTCCTGGAATTGTTGGTGTGCTTCATTCCAATTTTAGCACTCATTCTAGCTTTCCTCCCAGAAGTGTTTTTCTGAGCAAACTGTATCCAATTCCGCAAAGTATTTGCGCATCCAATCACATGCCATATTATTCCACATTAAAAAGTTCAGCTGTGGCGGTATCCATATTTCAAACAATTCAGATACCCAGAGGCAGTGAATAGCATGCCGCTTCTGTGATTTTTCAGATACATTCCACAAACTTCCAATAATGAACAGGCAGAGATGAATCAAATCGTTGTTGGCAAAAAGTAGTTTAAATCCAGGTAAATGAAGCAACTTAGACAAGGAAATTCCAGAAATCTCATGTTGTACCAGAAAAGTAGAAATTTGCTTGTACTATGAAAATTGCTATACAGCATGTGTCATCTACAGCAGGTATCATACATAGAAGCTGACTTGGCTGATGACAGGTGGATCTTCCTTGTAGAACATACAGCTCAAATACTGCAGCAAATTTGCGCAATTTGTTAACAAACATACACTGCTGTGGGATAGCCTTCGGGCTTGCAGAGGCATCCAAACACAGGTTAGCAGCGATAGCTCTAGTGTAGCCAAAGGCCAAAAGAGCAGCAAGAAAATTACTGGAAGTGCTTATAGAAAGCTGTGGCAGTGAAACCAAGTAAGATTACTTGGGGTCTGAAAAGGGAGCTATGAGACAGGAAGCCAACAAAGGCACAAACCAAGCATAGGATCACAATTAAGTAGCAGGAGAAGGAGGAGACATAAGTAGCTGCAATTACAAGAGGAGGAAGGCCAGGCAAGAAAGTTACAATCAAGGGAAGTCATTGAAGAGAAGAAGATATTAAGAGAAAATTTTATTAAACACTGAGGATAAGAAAACAACGAGGTTAAGCAGAACACTAGAAGGAGAAAGAAAATAATTCAACAGAAAAAGCAGGCAACTTAGTGAAGCTGAAGTTTATAGTTGTGGCCAACCAAAGTATCAGCCAGACGTCAATTAAAAGACAGAGAAATTAAGTGTAACTCTCCAAGTACTACCTTTAAGCATTTGGCAACAATATCAGAATACGAGACAAATAGACTTAGCCTAATTTTGAAATGCTTTAAAGTTTAACACCATTGGATATATTTTCCAAAAGGTTTTACATGTTTAGTGTCCAGAAAAATATGGATTAAAAGCTCCAGTGCCCCCAACAAAGCAAACAGGTACTTTATAAACTTGCCTCAGACAACTCTGCTAGTCTAGCTGAACCTTGGCCCTCAGCAAACCCCTGACACTGGAATCCTCACTGTCCCTCCTGAAAGGACTTTGTCAGTGCATGAGCACCCCAACTCAAAGGATTTTTTTTTTTTTTTTGGCAGTTCTAGCATCAGCATGCCTTGGTTCTGACCCACAGCTTCCCCTATTAATCCAGTTCTAAATTTAACAAACCAAGACTAGCCATTGCACAACAGCTTCAACACATACGCAGATAGAATCTGAAAGATCCAACACCTCACCCTTGACCTAAGCCATGACTAGACGAATGTTTCCCCGAAGAAAAAAGATGTCTTTGGTACCAACACAATGCAAGAGCCTTGTGATATGTGCAAGACCAGCCGCTGTTCCAGGATATTTACCTTTCTGCAAGCAGGACAAAGTCCATTCTCATCAGTGCGGATACGATGCCAACAGAAACGACAAATTTGGTAGCCACAGGTGCAAGGGAAGAAGTTGATGTCATCAATTTCCAGAGGCTCCATGCAAAGGGGGCATTCCACAGGGTCTTCCTTAGCATCAGGGCTGCGAGACATCTTTATATGTTCGCAGAGCAGCAAAAGTTTATAATAACTTAACAGACCGAGAAGGTCAGCACTTGAAGGTCTGCAAGAGAGAGGCAGGCAGGAAAGAAAAAAGTGATTAGTACTTTTGACAACCTTTCTTTTGCACCTTTTAATATTTCAGTTCTTCACCACTTTCCTTCTCCCCACACAAATTACCTACTAACACACAAATTACTCCCTAATAAACTTGAGTGTCTCTTCCTACTTACAAGTCACACAAGTTATGTGAAAGATGGTACTGGTGACGTACCTCCTTACCTGGATAGGCAAGCATTTCTTCAGCAGTTTACTAACCTATTTGTGTTTCAAACTGTACAGTTGCAAAGAAATGCTTAACAGTGTATACCATACACTGCTTCTAAGTTCTGCCATTTCCTTTAACTACTGCTTTCTTGAAGTTTTCTACAAATCCAAAGTCAAATCCTTGAATGCAGGACTTCACGTTTAAGATCAATATATTCCTTTGCTCAGAGACTTGGAACAACATTTAGGCCATTCATTCAACTTTTCAGTAGGGTTACAGAATTATCAAACAAAACCAAGGAATTTCTTGGATATTTGAAGTTGTATCTAATCTCAGCAAGCCATCTCAATCTGCTGCATGAGACATGCATGTAGATGGGATAGAATTAAAGGGCAACAGTAGAACTTTCAGGTAGACCTTTTGAAGAAAAAAACCCACCACCAATAACAACAAAAAACCCCCTAGAAACCCACTGAAAAAGATGTGACCAGAACTGACAGTTGGATGGTCACTCTATCTGTAACAAACTACACCACTTCTTCACAAATAAGTGACCTCAAAAGTTTTTTAAAAAAACCAAATTCTTTTAACAATTATGCCTTTCCCAAAACATGGGTCATGCAATTATAATTTAACCATACACATGATCTGGAGTCCCCTCTACTTTCTCAGAGAGTTTTCTGTCTCATTTCTAACTGAAACCTACTAGATTGCATACAATCCAATCTTTCTTTCTATAGGCTTTTAGGAGCAAGTCCAGAAACAAATTCTCACATCCACCTACTCAAAGAAGAGTGACATTTACTCCTGTCCTTGGAAATAAGATGACTGGATGTTTTGAGATCAAAGCCTTGCTCACAGATTTCAGTATGTTGTAGTGTTAGCCTTACATATCTTTGGTTTGA